CATACAGTAGATGTTTGGATGTGCAGTGACAGTTTCTGAGTTTCTTTATTTCTGAGTCTTTGTAGAAATACAGCAACCCTTGTTTTGCTCGTGAAATAAGCAGCGCAGAATACAGAAGTGCATCCTACAAGCGCCATACTGAAAAATTGATATATAATGTGTCAAAATATAAAGTTAAAGATTATAAAGTATACAGATTTTAAGTAATAAATGTTCCTAAAAGTGTAAACAGCACTGTGCATCAGAATTTTGGCTTTTGATAATATTTATATTCAGTTTACTGATGCCTCTTTAAATATCACCATGAATCTGATGGAGGGCGTGTTTTCGTGAACATAAGTTTCTGTTGAATTATCCTTCACATTTTAAAGCGTTTCTGTAGACGTGAGTAATTTCTTGTGAAGGGCCATTCTGAGTTTTCTGGATAATCAGTTTAATTTTCCGTGTGATGAAGTGTTTGCAGTAACATCAGTCAAACGTACTCATAATTAGGGCTGCACGATAAATCGCATGCGATATTTAATGCGCATCTTGTCAGTAAAGCCGGTTCTGTAATCAGCGGTAAATCTCCATCACCTGCGGGCTTTCACATTGAGCAGCATTAACTACACAGAGATATTATTATAATATTCAGAAATCGATTAACGTCAAGGCTTTTAAAGGGAAATGCAGAAGAGAAGAAGTGATTATATCAAGATTAAGACTTGGACATACTGGTTTAAAATCAACCCTGTTTTTAATGGGAAAATGCATATCAGATAATTGTGATGACTGTAATGTTCCAGAAAATGTGGAGCATATCATTATGAGGTGTAAAAAATATAATGCAGAAAGGAGGATCTTGCAAGATAAGATATATGAGTTGGAACAAGAATGGAGTTTGAAGGGGATTTTGGGGGCAGATGAGAAAATGTGGGAATGTAGCAAGGCTCTCTTTAATTTTCTTAAAGATACAGGGTTAGAGCACAGTATATAGGTGTGGGAAGTTTTTTTTTTTTGTTGTTGTTTTTTCTTCCTCAATTATAACTATATAAAGTATTTGAACCCATGAAGTTGCACACCCCGGTACAGTAGGTGGCGGTATGCACCTGAACAAGTTGGTTGTGACCCGCCATTAAAACCAGAAATTCAAATGTAGTACCTACTCATGCGATTTCGGACGCACCGAGAGCGTTTGTTGTCCAACCCCAGTCGTGACGTAATTATTATGCGCCAGCAACACGGTAAGACCCACTGAAAGAGGAACGCGGGCCAGTTTTGATGTTTGAAATATAACATAAAGCAGAAATTGTCAAGAAATTGTACAGATTGGATACAAGTCAAATATGAGTTTACACTGCGGAGGTGACTCAGGATTATAGCTGCGTATTTCCTTTTGGGGTATGTTTGCAAGTGTCGCAGCATCGCTTCTTGTGAAATCGAAACCTAAAAAGCTGAGTGTTGATTTCACTTTGTGTTTCTGTCACACAATTATGTTTCTGAGACCTTTAGCTTTGTAAGATCCCCCAATAAATTTTAACATTTACAGAAATGCGATAGCAAGGACGATAAACTTAGCTTAATCATTTTCACTATGGCACATTTGAAACCGAAATAGACAATAGTTATATTGCCAAAACAGCTGAATAATTAATGCTAGCTTAGTTTTTATACAGTGGAAGAAATACATGATAAATGTCCTGCTTGGCGCCTGTTCTGTGTTTCATCACTATTAATTCTACCTGTTGTTTTGACCTGAATATGAAAATCGAAATGTCGAGTTTTGTAAGGAAATGTATAGATTATGATAAATGCAGCACTATTATTTATTAGCATCACGTTTTAAAGTTTTACAGTTTTTTTCTTTTAATCTGTTTTTAAACAGTTTTCAGTTTTTAAATCTTAAGAATGGCATGATGAACACAATTATAGAATTCCAGCTCAACATTTATTCACTTATATGGGTATATGGGTATACATATGTGACAAACTGTACTTAATGTAAAACTATTTTAGATCACAATTAGCCGATTCTTTTATAATTAATATGCTCGCAGCTTTTATTAACCGAGATGCGGTATGGAATATTGGATTTTAAGGCAAAACACTACAGGCAAAACCATTGTTTTTGGGCCAGTTTTGGACTATTTTGCTTTCATAAAATGTCTTTTTTCAAAGTAATGGCTGGAAAATATGCAAAATACAAATTTAAGTGCATATTTTATTACACTTTATCTGTTACTGTTAATTACAAGACATATTTTAAGGCAGTTGTCTCAAAATTAGGTTTATTCTGATGCACTGTGTCTGAAATCTCCACTTCAGTCGCAATTACTTTCTATTTTATTCCCCTCTCTATTTTTTTACAGAGGGTTTTGTTCATATAACTTTGCCTGTTTTATACAACATTTTATTCCTGATAACATAGTGAAGATGTAGAATTTTTCTGCCTGTTGACAGTATTTTCTGATTTATGGAGTAAGGAAAAGAGATTCAAAACCCCCTCTGTAAATACCTTTTAAATCTAATATGTCAACAAAATGAAACAAGAATATCGACCATGGCTTTATCCAATGTTCAGATTTCTGTTCTGGAAATGTGTGCAAATTTAATTTGATAATGTCTCATTTGCATATTTAAATATAACATTTCAGAAACAAGTATTACAAAAAGTTTGTCTTAATGTTCTGTGATTAATCAGCTGGGGAAGTATGATGATATTAATTAATTTAAAAATTAATTTTTTTACCCTATTCACTTCTGCTCTCTCGTTTTAAAGAAATAAACTTGCGAAGGCAAAGGGTAATTGTAAATTGTAAAAAAAAAAAAAAAAAAAAAATCCTGGTAAACTTATAGCACTCAAAATATACACTCTTTTATACGTTCATTGAAATGTTAACCTAAAATCTTGATGATTGTTGAATTTAACACAAGTCCATGTTATGCATCTTTGTTTTGGGTTTTAATCCGGTGATCTCATGGTTTTGAATGAATGCAGGTTCTTGGACCTCTTGAATTTAAGATGAAGAGACGGGCACAAGCATCAGACGAGCCTCTGAAGAAGAGGAAGGCTGTCCGTGAGGACTCCTCTGATGAAGATGAGGAGTCTTCTCAAAGAACCACCAGTCAGGGTTAGAGAGGAGTTTCCTTATGGCACTTTACACTGTGATGTTCGCGTGTCCAGATACTTTGGTTATACAGTGCAAGTTTCTGTAAGCGTGTCCCATTTTTTGTCTCCCAGACTCAAGTCAGAGTGAGTCTCTCAGCGATGTTGAGGACCACAAACCCAGTTTCTCCAGGCCTTCTAATTCCCAGAATGCCGAGGGCAACGATGCCTCTTCTGAAGCCTCTTCCAAATTTTCTATGTATAACAGAGTCTCTCAGAAACTCATGGTAAAATAAGCATCTCCTGTCATTCCTTTTACTGTCTTGTCAGCCTGTTACATGCATATTACCACATTAAAATGGTCTCCTCCTCTCCTTCCTTCAGGCCAAAATGGGTTTCAGAGAAGGCGAGGGTTTGGGAAAGTTCGGTCAAGGGCGGAAAGAGATCGTAGAAACATCGACCCAGCGTGGGAGGCGAGGTTTGGGTCTGACCCTGAAGGGCTTCCAGGGCGACCTCAATATAGACTGGCAAGATGAGCCGGAGGTACGGCAACATTTCCAACAGTGTTTCTTCAGTATTAAAACAGAAACCTTAGTAGTCCAGGACCATTATTTCTCCCTCATCTCATTTTTACTCTCAGCCAAGTGCTTTAGAATCAGTGACGTGGTTTCCAGAAAGTTCTCCAGAGATCCCAGATGCAGATGAGCTGAAGGACTGGATGACTGTGGGCCAGGTATTGCAGCACATATTACCTGATGAACTGAAATTATTAGTTTAAGATCAAATGCTTATTCTTTTACTTTTATGGTAAAAAGATTAGTCATCATCTGACTAAAGTTATTTTTGCTCAGTTATTTGTTGTCTCTTGTTCACATGGGTCTGCAGTGCAAACAGTGTTTTATAAATATTAGCTTGACTAATAAACCTCTGCATCTCATAATTGGCTACAATAAAGACCTCACCAACTGTAAATGGGTAGTTGACATGAAAATGCATGCCATGCTGTTTTTCATTTAAACATTTTATTATTCTTTTACAATTATTATATGCTGGGTTCCCTTCCAAATGTTTCCCATTTTTGAAGCACAAATTTCCATCTTATTTATGTGCATTTTGACTCCAGAAATTTCACCTCAGCCTAGTGCGCATAAATGCATATCAAGTGCTGCCATTCATGTTTTCTTTAGTGAAAATTCAAAATTTGCATGAAAATGATTTAGATTGAAACCCACTTCTTCATGCCACTTTTATGACCTTGTATGATTTAAGAGATTAAATCAAATGTTTGTACTTTTATAAATTAATCTCTCATACTGTAGTACTTTTTTACCTGTTACAAAAAAGGGAAAATTAAAATGGTGAGAAATAATGTGACAAGTTATAGTATGTAAAATGTATGCTTTCCCCTTTTTTCACATTAATATAAATTCCCTAATACACTATGTTCAAAAGTTTGGGTTTGGTTAGATTTTTTTTTTTTTTAAATGTTGTTTTTTGCTTGTTGAAAGAAGTCTCTTATGTTCACCAAGGCTGCATTTAAAGATGCAGTAAAAGAGTAATATTGTGAATTAATTACAATTTAAAATAACAGTGTTTTATTTTAAAATGTTTTAAAATAAAAAAGTTAGACTGTTTCTCCAGTTTTCAACGATCCTTCAGAAATCATTCTAATATGCTGATTTGTTGCTCAAGAAACATTTCTTATTATTATCAATGAGGAAAACAGTTGTGCTGCTTAATATTTGTGTATAAACTGATACATTTTTCATTCTTTGAATAGAAAGTCCAAAAGAATAGCATTTATTTGAAAATAAATATCTTTAATATCTCTGGTAAACTTATAGCACTCAAAATATACACTCTTTTATACGTTCATTGAAATGTTAACCTAAAATCTTGATGATTGTTGAATTTAACACAAGTCCATGTTATGCATCTTTGTTTTGGGTTTTAATCCGGTGATCTCATGGTTTTGAATGAATGCAGGTTCTTGGACCTCTTGAATTTAAGATGAAGAGACGGGCACAAGCATCAGACGAGCCTCTGAAGAAGAGGAAGGCTGTCCGTGAGGACTCCTCTGATGAAGATGAGGAGTCTTCTCAAAGAACCACCAGTCAGGGTTAGAGAGGAGTTTCCTTATGGCACTTTACACTGTGATGTTCGCGTGTCCAGATACTTTGGTTATACAGTGCAAGTTTCTGTAAGCGTGTCCCATTTTTTGTCTCCCAGACTCAAGTCAGAGTGAGTCTCTCAGCGATGTTGAGGACCACAAACCCAGTTTCTCCAGGCCTTCTAATTCCCAGAATGCCGAGGGCAACGATGCCTCTTCTGAAGCCTCTTCCAAATTTTCTATGTATAACAGAGTCTCTCAGAAACTCATGGTAAAATAAGCATCTCCTGTCATTCCTTTTACTGTCTTGTCAGCCTGTTACATGCATATTACCACATTAAAATGGTCTCCTCCTCTCCTTCCTTCAGGCCAAAATGGGTTTCAGAGAAGGCGAGGGTTTGGGAAAGTTCGGTCAAGGGCGGAAAGAGATCGTAGAAACATCGACCCAGCGTGGGAGGCGAGGTTTGGGTCTGACCCTGAAGGGCTTCCAGGGCGACCTCAATATAGACTGGCAAGATGAGCCGGAGGTACGGCAACATTTCCAACAGTGTTTCTTCAGTATTAAAACAGAAACCTTAGTAGTCCAGGACCATTATTTCTCCCTCATCTCATTTTTACTCTCAGCCAAGTGCTTTAGAATCAGTGACGTGGTTTCCAGAAAGTTCTCCAGAGATCCCAGATGCAGATGAGCTGAAGGACTGGATGACTGTGGGCCAGGTATTGCAGCACATATTACCTGATGAACTGAAATTATTAGTTTAAGATCAAATGCTTATTCTTTTACTTTTATGGTAAAAAGATTAGTCATCATCTGACTAAAGTTATTTTTGCTCAGTTATTTGTTGTCTCTTGTTCACATGGGTCTGCAGTGCAAACAGTGTTTTATAAATATTAGCTTGACTAATAAACCTCTGCATCTCATAATTGGCTACAATAAAGACCTCACCAACTGTAAATGGGTAGTTGACATGAAAATGCATGCCATGCTGTTTTTCATTTAAACATTTTATTATTCTTTTACAATTATTATATGCTGGGTTCCCTTCCAAATGTTTCCCATTTTTGAAGCACAAATTTCCATCTTATTTATGTGCATTTTGACTCCAGAAATTTCACCTCAGCCTAGTGCGCATAAATGCATATCAAGTGCTGCCATTCATGTTTTCTTTAGTGAAAATTCAAAATTTGCATGAAAATGATTTAGATTGAAACCCACTTCTTCATGCCACTTTTATGACCTTGTATGATTTAAGAGATTAAATCAAATGTTTGTACTTTTATAAATTAATCTCTCATACTGTAGTACTTTTTTACCTGTTACAAAAAAGGGAAAATTAAAATGGTGAGAAATAATGTGACAAGTTATAGTATGTAAAATGTATGCTTTCCCCTTTTTTCACATTAATATAAATTCCCTAATACACTATGTTCAAAAGTTTGGGTTTGGTTAGATTTTTTTTTTTTTTAAATGTTGTTTTTTGCTTGTTGAAAGAAGTCTCTTATGTTCACCAAGGCTGCATTTAAAGATGCAGTAAAAGAGTAATATTGTGAATTAATTACAATTTAAAATAACAGTGTTTTATTTTAAAATGTTTTAAAATAAAAAAGTTAGACTGTTTCTCCAGTTTTCAACGATCCTTCAGAAATCATTCTAATATGCTGATTTGTTGCTCAAGAAACATTTCTTATTATTATCAATGAGGAAAACAGTTGTGCTGCTTAATATTTGTGTATAAACTGATACATTTTTCATTCTTTGAATAGAAAGTCCAAAAGAATAGCATTTATTTGAAAATAAATATCTTTAATATCTTTCTATAAATATCTTTACTATCACTTTTGATCACTTTAATGTGTCTTTGCTCAATAAAAGTATTAATTTCTTAAAAAAAAAAATCTCAGTGAATCTGAACTTTTGAACGGTAGTGTACATTCATATAAAAATGTTGTTTATCAGCTTTCCATGTTTATATGTATACCTATACCTATGCTTATATTTTTAGAAAAAATTAAAAATTGATGATGAAACTGAATTTTGCTCTGAGAATCTACTGCATCTCCTTCTTCGCTGCAAAGTGAGTGTGTCAGACATTTCTTATGTTTCTCCTGTCTTGCATAAGACCAAAACACATAGTGCTCTGTGTCTTGTAATAATGTAACACGTCATTTTATTTGTATTTCTTTTCAGACTGTGTTTGATAACTTGGAGGGGGAGGAGATGAGGCGAGCGCGTACTCGATCAAACCCTTATGAAACAATCCGAGGGGCTTTCTTTCTCAACAGGTGGGTGGCGTCTCCACATGCATACAATGTAATAAGAGAAGCATATCTTTTCTAAATTTCTTTCTCTCTGTTTTCTCCTCAGAGCTGCTATGAAGATGGCAAACATGGATCATGTTTTTGACTATATGTTCACTAACCCAAAGGATTTTCAAGGGGTGAGACCACAATTACACAAGCTGTGCCATTATGGATTGAAATAAGTGCTGTAATTACATTTCTGAATTGGATGTCTGTGTGTGTAGAAGCCCCAGACGCGTGATAAGGATGGTGAGTTGCTGTATTTTGGAGACGTATGTGCAGGACCAGGAGGATTCTCAGAGTATGTGTTGTGGCGGCGGCGCTGGCATGCGAAAGGTTTCGGGATGACGCTCAAAGGAGCCAACGATTTCAAACTGGAAGATTTCTATGCTGCTCCCAGCGAGCTCTTTGAGGCCTATTATGGTATGAGTTTCAACCATTTAAACATGAACAAAAAAACAACAATCTAACATTTTTACTGTATCGATTAATGTAGAAATATACAACAAGGCAGCACAACTGTTTCCAACATTGATAATAAGAAGAAATATTTTTTGAGCACCAAATCAGCACATTAGAATGATTTCTGAAGCATCATGTGACACTGAAAACTGGAGTAATGATGCTGAAAATTCAGCTTTTATCACAGGAATATATTACATTTTAAAATATACAGTTTTATGCACAAGTTTGGGCACCCCTCTGAGGCTGCATAATAATTTGCTCTGTCTTTTTAAGAAAAGATTGTAGTGATTTGCCAGTCATTTTTTAGAGAAAGCTGGATAATGTGATGTTTTTCAGACAAAAATTCTTAGTGTAGCAGTTTTGAGGAGTATGAAATAAAATCAAATGTAAAAAATAGAGAGTGCAAAAGTTTGGCCACCCTTTTCAATTGTGGTGATTCGAATACCTGTAGTCACTTAATGCTGATTGATTGCAACTCCGAATTGATTTGAATGGCTCAATGAACATTAGACTGAAAACACAGGTGCTACCACACTGCAAAAAATGGCTTATCTTAAAACAAGAGTATTTTAGTTACCCCACTGGCAGATAATTTTACTTGTTTTAAGCAAAATGCACTTAATTTAGTTTTTTCCCCCTGGAAACAAGACTAAATATCTGTGCAACCAATCATGAAAAAGGGTATTCAAGGTAGCTAATTGCTAGTTGTGCTTCTCTTTGATTCTCAACTGGAAAGTAGCAACATGGGAAACTCAAAAGAACTCCCTAAAGACTTAAAAACTAGGATAATTCATCAATATCAATTAGGAGAAGGATACAAAAAGTTATCACAAAGGTTTAAGGTCTCCATAGTTAGAAAATGGAGGGCCACAGGAACAGTCCTTGTGAAGGAAAGATGTGGTAGGCCGAGAAAAATATCTGAAAGGCAAAGGTGAAGAATGGTTAGAATGGTCACAGACAAACCACAGACCACCTCCAAAGAGCTCCAAGAACATCTTGCTGCTGATGGTGTCGTTGTACATCGTTCCACAGTCCAGCTTATGGGGCTGTGTGGCAAGCACAGATACTAGAAACCTTGTCAAAGTTGAGGGTCGCATGGATTCCACCCAGTATCAGCAGATTCTTAAGAACAATGTTCAAGAATCAGTCAAGAGGTTGAAGTTAGTTCGGGGTTGGTTATTTCAGTAGGACAATGATCCAAAGCATTGTTCCAAATCTACCAAGGAATTCATGCACAGACACAGATACAGTGTTCTAGAATGGCCATCCCAGTCCCCAGACTTGAACATCATCGAAAATCTTTGGAATGATTTGAAGCGGGCTGTCCATGCTCTGAAACCATCAAACCTGACTGAACTGGAGACATTTTGCAAGGAAGAATGGTCCAAAATACCTGCAGCCAGAATTCAGGGACTTATCAGTGGATATAAGAAGCGTCTACAGGCTGTTATTTCGGCAAAAGGAGGCTCTACTAAATATTGATGTAATTATTCCATTGAGGTGCCCAAATTTTTGCACCTGTCTGTTTTTGTTATGACTCACATTGCATTGCAACTGAAATGTTACTGTTTCCATAAGGTGTAAATTATATCCAAATGAAGTTGCTGCTTCGAAAGCCCAGCAGATTATAAACTGAAATTATGATAATTATCAGGGGTGCCCAAACTTCTGCATAAAACTGTATTAAAGGGGTGGTTGAGCAGCTTTTTTCGAAAGCTTGATTGTGTTTATGGGGTGCAGTGTAACGTGTTCATGCTTCGTAAAAAAAAAAAAAAACGCATCATTTTCACATATTTTACCTTTATTCTACACCACTGTTTCCATTCTCGTTAAAACGGTCTGTTGAGTTCCTGGTTCTATGAAGCCCCTCCCTCAGAAATACGCAATAGGCTCTGATTGGTTAGCGGGCTCAGTGTGTTTGTGATTCGCTAACCACGAATCGTGAAATCATAATCAACCACCCCTTTAAAATAGAATGTTTCACAGTGTTACAGTTTTACTGTACTTTTAATCATGTAAATGCAGCCTTGGTGACTCTTTTAACAACATTAAAAATAGTTTTATTCCAATTTCACTTACAATGGTAGTATAAATGTTTAATCTAGGTATAGAAAATTTTTTATTAAAATATTGGTATTTCTTTTGAATGTCTCATTACCGTTGTTTCAGGTGAGGGTGGGATTGATGGCGATGGTGACATCATGCGGCCGGAAAACATCACTGCGTTCCGCAACTTTGTCTTAGATAGCACTGAAGGGCGGGGCCTGCACTTCTTAATGGCAGATGGGGTAAGACATGCTCTTTTGTGATTGGTTTAAATGCGAATATTGTTGTTGTGTGATTGGTCGATAGATTCTGATGGTGTGTTGCTCATCAGGGTTTTTCTGTTGAGGGCCAAGAGAACATTCAGGAGATTTTGAGTAAACAGCTCCTTCTATGTCAGTTCCTCACTGCCATGTCTGCCGTCAGACCAGGTAATGTGTGTGTTTTTGTTTGTGTGCATATAACGTGCCAATAAAGACTATTCACTCTCTTGGACTTTTTTTTCCAGATTTTTATTGGGGTCCATTTTGCAATAATTAGCACAGAGAAAATCTCAACATTTAATAAAATAATAATAATAATAATAATTTAGTGAGTTTGGGTTTGTCAGACTGATTCAAATCAGTTACTTTAAGTTTTTTAAACAATTTAAAAGTCATTTGCTTGTGATTCAGATAGGGCTGGGCGATATAGCTACAAAATTTATCAACGATATAATGTTTCATTTAGTTCGGTATCGATAATTATTGACATTTTTTATAGCATTTTTTTTAAAACAAAGAGCAATAGAAAAAATTTTTTGAATTTAACCACTGCATTTTTAAATTAACCCAATTTATTGAGACAAACAACAAATATTTTTTGTTTTAACAATCTAACATAAAATAAAAATTAAATAAATATCTAATTTCTAATGTTTTATATGCAGATTAAATAGGTTAAACTTTTGGCTTGTTTCCCGAGGCCACAGGAGGG